TTGTGTGTTTCCTTGACTGATGAAGCCTTCTGGATGGAAGGAGAAACTTTCCAGCACAAAAAAAGAAACTGTCCAGACGACCTGACTGACAAATGTTGGAAACTAAAACATTGTACAAGTTTTTTGAAGACCTGGGTTAATTTGGAATTGGATGGCAGCAACACAGCTGACAGAACAACAAAAGGCTGCAAATACAGAGGTGCTTAAAGGTTGTGAACTCCTTCTGTTTTCTATATTTCTGCATCAGTCAGACCGAAAACATCTGCAGATGTTCACACAAGTCCTAAGAGTAGAACCCAGCTAAACAAAGGGGAGTGAATATCAAACGTGCTCATTTATTTATTGAGCAAAATGATCCTCTAATATTTATCTGTGAGTGGTAAAAGTGCATGTGAACCTTTGCTTTCAGTACCTGGTGTGACCCCCCACCCCCCACTCCACCCGCAGCCATAACTGCAACTAAACGTTGCTGTTGGGCAGTCCTGCTCACCAGCTGGATGAACTTTGATCCCATTCCTCCCTTCAGAACAGCTTCACCTCTGGATGTTGGTGGTTTCCTCACATTAACTGCTGCTCCAGGTCCTTCCACAACATCTGGATCAGATGAGGGTCAGAACACAGCATCTTATTTAGGCTTATTTGCTACAAAACTGTGCAACAGCTGTAAGAGCTGGTGACATATATTCAGTAACAGCACTTTAACTTCTATTAAATGAAAAGTGTTAAATGTTATTTATTAGCATTAGTCACCTGCGATGCTGTCTCACCTGTGGAGGCTTGTTGCAGGTTCCTATAGCTGCAGTGTGGGATCCTCTGCACTCCTGTGCATGAAGGACAGCCTTTTTAAGTTCAAAGTGTTTGTGTGTCCACTGTGTCATAAGACTTAATCATGCTAATGGGGCTAACACGACGTCCGAATGTCTGTGGTAAAACTCACCCAACAAGTCGTGCTATCAGCTGTTAGCTTCTCAGTGACGTCGGAAGTGACGGCTGGTAACTCGGCTAACGTTACGTTGGAAAAATATCTCTGACTGGGGACGATGTAGCCAGGCTCAGTGTAGTCCATAAATCTTTGGAATCCAACATCCTCCCCAACAAAAAATAAAACTTCCACACGGCTGCCATTTTGAATTTTCCTCTCTGTGCCGTGAGATCGGGTAGATGCATGTGACGTCATGGCACTGCGCTGCTGCTGTAGCATCATCACGTTGCTGCAGGCAAGAACGGCGCCTTTTATATCGGCAAGTTATTTTAATGGAACGAGCAATGTCCGATATTGAACGTTAACACTAATATCGTCCGATAATATCGCACATCCCTATTTGTACTGCACGTCTCAACAATTGTTCATGTCAGTCATGTGATTTAATAGTTTTCAAAATGTTATTAATGTTGTCCTTACAATAATGAAGTCTTATTTATCACAAGAATTTGATCTCACAGGCACTTCAAAGTAGAGACAAGTTTTAGAACATGTTTAGCTCCTCCAGATCTGAGGCCGTGGTCCTGAGTCAGAAAAGAGTAGATTGTTGTCTTCAGGTCGAGGGTGAGGTTCTGCCTCAAGTGGAGGACTTCAAGTATCTCAGGGTTTTGTTCATGAGCTGGACTCTCCCTTAGAGACAGGGGGAGAAGTTCAGTTATCAGGAGAGACTCAGAGTAGAACCACTGCTCCTCCACATCCAGAGGAGCCAGTTGAGGTGGTTCATCTGGTAAGGATGCTCCCTGGACGCCTCCCTAGGGAGGTGCTTCAGGCATGTCCAACTGGGAGGAGACCCTGGAGAAGTCTCGGGACACACTGGAGAGACTATAAGTCTCTCATTTGACCTGGGAACACCTTGGAGTCCTCCCAGAAGAGCTGGAAGAGGCTGTGGAGAGAGATGTCTGGACCTCCCTGCTCAAGATGCTGCCCCAAGACCTGAGTCCCGAACTAGAGGAAGATGATGGATGGATGGATGGATGGGTGAGTGGGTGGATGGATGGATGAGTGGGTGGATGGATGGATTGAGTGGGTGAGTGGATGGATGGATGGATGAGTGGGTGGATGGATGAGTGGGTGGATGGATGGATGGATGGATGGGTAAGTGAGTGGGTGGGTGGATGGATGGATGGATGGATGGATGGATGGATGGATGG